AACTCAACAATTTACAAGGACTCTCAAAAGCCAGAACACTCTCTACCTTCCAGAATGCTCAAGCACCTCTATTTATACAAGAGGAAGGCAGATGACACCCCCATTTGTCAAGGGGTAGTTACCCACGTTTTTGCTATTCCCTAGCATACTGGACTAGTAGACTTGATCTCTATGCAACACCTGGCAGGCAGTTCCACCACTTCAAGTAACTTTNATAAGGGACAGAAACTCACACAGAAGGCACACACGAATCTACTGGAACAACACTCCCAAACCTTATATATTAAACTCAACAATTTACAAGGACTCTCAAAAGCCAGAACACTCTCTACCTTCCAGAATGCTCAAGCACCTCTATTTATACATGAGGAAGGCAGATGACACCCCCATCTGCCAAGGGGTAGTTACCCACGTTTTTGCTATTCCCTAGCATACTGGACTAGTAGACTTGGTCTCTGTGCAACACCTGGCAGGCAGTTCCACCACTTCAAGTAACTGCTGTGGAACTGCCCCTTCATCAGCATGCATATAGACTGAATTCAGACTGGGGACATCCAGAACTGCCTCAGCAACTGCCTTGATTGAGTCTCAGCATCATAACTGCCCACATCCTCCTGGTCACATGCATTGAGCAGCCATGTGCCAATCAGGTGCCCACATTCAGCAGTCATGTGCCCACATTCACCAGTCAACCTTGCTACTCGAACCAATGTGCATGTTGGGTTCAACCCATGTCATGAAATCTGAAGCTCTGCACCCACATTGCTTCAATTGAGCCCACTCATGCTGCCATACTCAACCAGGTGGTCTCATGCTGTAACACCCCCCCACTACCCAGCAAGATATTGTCCTCTTTGGCACAGGGTCACGGAACACCGTTCTCCTCCCCTGCCCTCAAGGGTTTGTTCCTCCCAGGGGTTCCCTGGGAAAAGGCCTCTTGCAAGGTAAGGGCTGAAGGCTTACTTATAAGCCCAGCAACTCCCCCCTCCGTAACCGATGTGGGATACCAGGATCTCACAATCCACCCCCCTCAGGGCTGCACGTCCCCGTGCAGCTAGGTCACGGACTACCGTTCTCCTCCCTCCTACACGCTGACCCGTGCAGGGCCCCACACTCGGCACCGCCAAGGGGTCGGCTCCGATACCATTTGTAACACCCCCCCACTACCCAGCAAGATATTGCCCTCTTTGGCACAGGGTCACGGAACACCGTTCTCCTCCCCTGCCCTCAAGGGTTTGTTCCTCCCAGGGGTTCCCTGGGAAAAGGCCTCTTGCAAGGTAAGGGCTGAAGGCTTACTTATANACCCACATTGCTTCAATTGAGCCCACCCATGCTGCCATACTCAACCGGGTGGTCTCATGCTGCCTTGGTTCGCCCCAATCTGTCAAACCACTTAGTCGCGTCACCTTGATTCTAATTTCTGGCATGCCTTGGTGCAAGGTACCACCAAGACCGGCCATTTGCACCCAAGTCAATTAGGGTGTGACATACAATATCTATATAATAAGGGATCGACTTTCTAAAGATAAAAAGAGGTTCAGATCGTTTCAAGATAAAATAAAAATATATCTAACNCAAGCCACCCCCACCTAAAGTATCCAACGACCTCGTTGGAATGGAGGCATGGTATTGCTTGATGAGATCCTCAAACTGCCACAATGTCGTCTCTTTCTTCCAAGTGGCCTCCTCCAGTGCTTTCCCTTTCCACTTGACTAGATAATGAGTTCTTCTATTTTTCTTACTCATTCCCTCAATCTTGTGGTCAAGGATAGCTTCAGTTATTTCTGTGAATTGTTTCCTGATTGTTGGAGGAGCTCGACGCCGAACATATCTGTTAGGGTCCTCCGGGTCCTCAA